ATGTACTTGGTATCTCTACTCTATACCTATAAGTACTAATCTAGGTCAGAGGTCTCACAACTTACAAGGAGCTAATTGTACATCATGCTTGGTCAAAGTACTAGGTGCTAAATGTGATATAAGACACTAATTGCATCATCATACAGGATCACCATGTGCTAACTGTAAAACAAGGCACTGATTGCATCAACATGCATGTGCTAAACGTGAATGATCCATGAGTGATTCAAGACAAACAATGCCTGGTCAAACCATGTGCTAAATGGGAATGATAACTATCAAATTGCTGTGTTCCCGTCCTTGAATTTGATGTCTTTTGAATTCATTTAATGAACCTCGTGAATAAAAAGCGTTGTCTCAGATGGGGCAATAGCCGCAAGCAGCTCCAACTTGGTTCTATATTAACTTGATCAGGGAGCCATATATCAACGACACATTACTTCCAAGTTCTAGGAACTGACTCTCAGTCACTCTTCGACTCTTTGATTCCATGACTTTGTGAGCAAAAGGAAGACCTCTGCATTTCTAAACAATCATCCTCCTGATTTCTTTTAAATGCTCAATTTCCCAATCTTTTCCCCTCAGTACTGGCTTTTTACAAAGCAGAGGCCAACCATCTTCTGAAGCCAAAGACTAAGAACTCTACTTACCATGTAGCTGCAGTACGTGTTTGTCGGTAACATCCCACACTCATTACCTCAGAAATCATGAAGCATGAGCATGAACTTCTTCTTGCTTGGACAATTCACCACATTGCTCACGAGCTAATTCCTATTAACTTACCAAATATCAATATCCCCACCAGCCACATGTTCTTTAATAGATTGTTCTCATGGAAAATTTAAACACAAAAATCTGAAATTTCAATAGGAACCGTCCCTCAATCAAGCTATCAGTGAATATCAGTTGAGTTGGTGATCTTCCAAATGCCGCCTAGCACTTCAATTGCGAATACAAGAATACTTTTAGCTTGTGTACAGCTTAGTGAATAATTGGACCATTTTTATTCTGTCAACTCCCAACAATGGTATGTGCTTTTTGTGCAGAGGAAACTGCCACTCATCTTTTCCGTGGTTGTCATTTTGCAAAAATAGGTTGGTGGGGTTCTCTTTTGAGCATTAGAATGGAGGCTATCCAAGGCAACACTCTTCGAGAATGGTTGGGATGCATTTTTGATGTCTTGGGAGAGGAGGAGGACACGGTGAGCTATATTATTTGGTGGTTATAGTTTACCAGAAATCAGATTGTTTGGAATAATGAATAAGCAGATCCACACGTTGTCATTGAGGAGGCTACTGAACACTTATACGAGTTCAAGGAGGCTCAGGTGAAGAGAAAATCCCCACATGCCAAGGCTAATACACAAGAAGAACAGCAAAAATGATGGACTTGGGCACCACCGAGATGCTTGAAACTTAATGTGGATGCATAAACTTGCATAGAACAAAAGAAAGCCGGTTCTAGAGTTGTAATCAGGGATGATAACGGTGCGGGAGCAGCTATTTGGCGGGAAAATATGACAACACCGGATATAGAAGGCAAAAGCTGTATTGTGCGGACTGACATGGGCAAAGCAGTAAGGAATTAGAAACCTCAAAGTGGAATCAGATTGCATCAAAGTGGTAAGAAGCCTTCAACAACATTCTTCAGACTGGTTGGAATTTGGACTTGCTATTATGGATTGTTTGGTGTTGCTTAGTTTCTTTTCGACAATTTCATTTTTCGCATATTCCCACAAATTGTAATAATGTCGTTCATAGACTGGCTAGGGCCACTGTTTTAAATATCGGCCGATAATCGATTATATCGGCCGAATTATCGGATTTGGGAGCTCTCCGCTGGATAAATTGGATTTTTAATCGGTTATCGTTTTTGTAGGTTTATCGGCGATTTATCGGCGTTATCGGCACTTATCAGCCGATAAGTAAGAATTTTTTATCGGGATTATCGGGATTATCGGCCCATTTTGACTAACATTATATTTTTTCAAGGCTATGATGCAAGTTTCGCTTTCTACAATTTGTTAGTGATTCTAAACATGATGATTTACATTTTGGTATGTTTATATTTCATTAAGCATGATTAGATTATATTTTTTTATTGTTATATTATATATACACATCATCCAGTATATCACTCCGATAAATACTACTTATCCCCGATTTCCGCTATCCGATAAGGATTTTGGCCGTCCGATAAATCCCCGATAACCGATATTTAAAACCTTGGCTAGGGCTGCCATCTTTGTGGAAGATTCTTGTTATTGGCGTGATGTACATCTGAATATTATTGCTGATTATATATTTGAAGATTCAATGGATGAATGAAAATACCCACATTGGGGTTTTCTATCAAATATACATATATATACACACACACACACTCCATATTCAGTGGCTCCTACTTGAGGGCACAAGCATGATCTGGATGTTTTGTTAATAATGCAGTGAAGACCCTCATAACTTTTCGTGGTGTCAAGATGCATGCAAGATTTTCCATCAAACACTTTACGAAGGCTCTAGATATGAAGAAATATGTGCAACAGGGCTTTATACTGGGCACTGCCTGCGCCTGCAGCCTTCTGGCCAACCTCCTGAGGACACAAAACTTCCTCCCCTTGGATTTTCAGATTGTTTTGTGCATTTAAATTTTAATAAATTAATATTGCATCTAGAAGATAAGAATAACTACATGTAGTCTTATGGATAACCTAACACGAGAATCATTATAAACATGAACTATTAAATTAGATGTATTATTTAAAGGAATTGATTTTTATGTCAAATTGGTTCCTAGATAAATTTTAAAAAATTATGATAAAATTTGGATTTTAAATAAGTATATGGTAGGACCACAGGAGATTGTCCCAATATGTCATAGAAGTATATGGTAGGACCACAGGAGATTGTCCCAATATGTCATAGATTTCTGAGCCTATGATCAACTAATTTTTAAAATGTTGATTACTTATGTAATGTTTATAAACATCTTTGTGCTCGTAAATTCACACAATCCTATAAAGTGAATGGTGTATGTCCGACATGTTATGACGGCTTCGTTTGAATACCATGGTGTTTTCATTATTGTGTTTTTATAAAAAAACATCATGGTGTTGTGTTTTTCCCTTAAAATATTTTCAAAACACCATGTTAAGTATTAGTTTGACCCACTATAACATTGGTATTAAACATATTTTTAATATATTATATATTAATTATAATAATATATATTGTAAATAAAATGTTATAATATTTAGTTTACATTATTATAGTATTATAAGTATTAAATGTAATGCAATATAATATTGTATAATGTATTATAATATTATATTGTACTTTAATGAGTTATATTATATTATAATTATTATTATATTATAATTATTACATATTTATTTATGATATAAATAAATATTATTGTATTATGAATATATTATTTTTACATTAACATTTGTTAGCAATAAAATATTTTATTATTAGAAATTATTTTACTTTATAATGAATTATATTATTTATTACATAATATATTAATATTTTATATTTTATATTACATTTACTATAAAATATGTTATTATAATATTATTATTATATTGTTATGTTATTATTAAATGTTACTATTATATAATATTTTATAATTATTAATTTATTACAATTTATTTATTAAAAAGTTAATAATATTATAGCGATTATACTATTGTATAGTATATTATTATATCATTATTATATTATTATTTATTAACTTTTTTATTATTTTTTATTAGTTTATTTATATTTTATTATTATTTTTTATTACATTCTTATATTATTTAATAAATATTACTAATATATTAAATTAACTATAATATAGTATAGTATAGTATAGTATAATATAATAAGCATGTTGATAATAACTCTATATTAATTACATTTAATATATTATGTTAAATATTATATTAACACCTTCTCAAACTCAAAACCAAAACACCAAACTTAAAACACCTAAAAGGTGTTTTGAAATAAGTGTTGTGCTTTTGGTTTGAGGATGATTTAGCTCAAAAAACACCATGATTTCCAAACGCATGGTGTTTTGTTTTTGGCAAAAACACCATAGAAATAAGTAAAACACCATGGTATCCAAACGGAGCCTTATGCTGATCTGTTGTGAGGTGGGAAACTGAATGATGATAACCACAACATTTGGAATCAAAAGGTGTAGTTCTTTCTCTATAAAGCAATTGTTTAGCTGTTGTCATTGGTAAAACTCTCTTCATACTACTAATGTACCGGCTTGAGCACAGCAAGTGCACGCTGTCTGGGTCAAGGTTAATCGTAAAGCTCGGTTTATGTTATTGACCAACATGCAACATGCAACATGCTTAGGGGGTTCGAGCATCTGAGACAGCAAAAGTGACATGAGATGCATTTTAAGTAAGTTTGAGGACACTTTTGTTGCATCCACATGCGCATTAACCCTGAAGTTTGGCTATTATAAAAAGAACATGCAAGTGAACAACATAGCATGAAGAAACATCTGCAGTCATGATAAACATGTTTAACAACTTGAAGGAGGCTGGACAAATTCTTTATGACTATAAGCATAATTATTGATGACAGCACTAGTTATAATGAGAACAATATGAAAAAGTGATGACACTATCATTTTGGATATGCCGGAAGTCAAGCATCGGCAGAAGTCAAGAAGGCCAATGGACTACAACCAAGATGAAGTTGGCTGAAGCAGTACAAATCTACAGAACGACATCAATTCCTATAAAAATCTGTTGGCAGATGGCTTATTTGTGCATCCCTGACCCCAAAAAAATTTTCCCAGTGAGCTAAATTATGTAGATACATATCAAGAACACAAATTTTCCTAAAAATGACAAAGGATGATAAAAAAAACCAAGTAGCAAATGCTTGTTGGTGCTTCCCAAATTTCATTCTCCCATTATTTCATAAAATCATGCCACTTTCAATTTTTAGAAATTTCATTATAACAATTATTTAAATAAATTTACTCGTTACCTTTCTCATGTATCTCAGAATCCCCAAATTGTTTCAATGCTAACGTCAGTTGGTATCCCAATCTATGCTCAGCATAAAATTCAATCCAATTTGAAGTCCAAGTATTTATCTGGGGAGTACTACACCAAAATAACAGAAAGCATTAGAACAAAGAAATTAAATTTAAAACATAACTTATCATGACAGAGTAGAGTCGTATATGATACCATTTCTAATTCACAAAATAAACTAATACATTTGTATACATATGAGAGAGGGATAGTGGACGTAGTAGGGCCATAACATGTAGATGAAGACTGAAATTGCTAGAAGGAATAAAAAATCATAGCATCTTGCCACAGAAATCAAATCATTCACTTGAGTTTTTTGTTCGGTGTGCGTCTGTTGGGGGGGGGGGGGGGAGGGGGGGTAAGCAAATACATGTCATGTAACCAATAGCTATTAACGGAAATATCCTGAGGAATTTACCTCCCAATAGTATTGTCAACATCAAAGCCGAAGCCCTTACTAGATTTCCCAGCTTTATGCATTTCAGCAAGCTTTCTTCCTAGAGCTGACTGAGAATAGACAATAAGTTAAATAAAGAGGACGTTGCAATTAGTACACTAGGCAACATCCGATATCTTTATACCACCTGACTTCCCCTGGAACCTCCAAATTCAATAAATTCCATGATGATAAATGAACCACCAGTTGGTAAAGGCCCAACCTACAAGACTTGAAATTAGACAGGTTTATGTTACATAATTGATAATCTTTACCAGCTTACAAAGAAACAAATGTCAGCTTCTCACCTTAAATGGTCTTGGGACACGAATTGTACTGGTTTCATACATTGCACCTAAACCCAAAGCCTCACCCTCGAACATTGATGGTCCAATATTTCTGCAGAATTATTAAATAACAGTGATACAGTGTTTACTGTTGATATTTATACCAGAAGAAGCACAACGAGAGGCATATCAAGAACATGGGTACTCTATATATTAAATTATTACAGAAACAATTTGAAATCATAAATTAAGTGATACAAAATGTAATGAAAACAAAAAAACAATTCAATAAAGCTAAAATCAACTGGAGCATTCAAGGAGATGTGCTCATCTTTTTCATAATGCTATGAAAATAAGAAGAAATTTCAATAAAGTGTTTGAGCTTTATGATTCCATTAGAATAGATTGACAGAGAAGAGGGATATTGTGGATAACATATTAGAGTTTTATAAAAGTCTGATGGGTACTGCAGCTGAGGGTATTATGAAGCCTAAAATTGAAGTTATAGAAATTGGTCCTTGTTTAAACACTGATCACAAAGAAATCCTTATACAACCAGTGTCCATTGAGGAAATCAAGCAAGCTGTACCTTTTCAATTTCAAAAGAGAAGACAAATGGACCTAATGGCTACTCTGCAAAACTTTTCAGGAGGAATGGGATATTATTGGGATGGATCTCATTCATGTGGTATGGGAATTCTTTACAAATGACAAATGCTTGGGGCAGGTTAATTCTACAACTATTACCCTTATTCCTAAGATTTCTTGTCCTAAGTATGCATCAGACTTTAGGCCTATTTCTTGCTGCAATTTCATTTATAAAGTTATTTCTAAGGTGTAATAGCTAACAGATGGCAAAAGGTCTTGTGCCATCTTATTAATGATGCTTAATGTGCCTTCACCAAACGAACGGTGATGACTAAACATATTTTGTTGGCTCATGAAGTGGTGAAGCACTATACTAGGAATATTATTTCTCCTATAGTTTTGATAATGTTGATATAAAGAAAGCATATGATACTATGGATTGGAATTTCCTCCAAGATGTTCGGGGTTTCCTCCTATAGTTGTACACTGGATTATGGTCTGTGTATCTTCTCCTTCTTACTCAATGTTTTTCAATGGTAGCCTTCATGGATATTTTCATGCGAAGAGAGGGTTAAGGTAAGGAGATCCACTTTCCCTTATCTATTTATGTTGGGTATGGAATACCTCTCTAGATTGCTAAATTTCAAGTTGAAGGAGGGTTCACACATATCACCTAAATTTGTCAAAATGAAGCTTTGTCACCTCATTTTTGCTTTCGATCTTTTACTATGTGGTAGAGGTGACTTAGACACAATGGAAACTTATAAGCTGGTCTTCATGAATTTGGTAGTGCTTCTGGACTACAAGCTAATCCTCGTACATGAGTTGTCCTCTTGGATGGGGTTAATAATATTGTCAAGGCTCAAATATTAAATTCTCTTGGTTACTCAGAAGGGCATTTTCCAATTCGGTACCCTGGTGTACCCTTGGTCTGTAAACAGTTATCATATACTGATTGTGAAGTGTCAGTTCAGAAGATTATAGTGAAAATTCAAAAGGCCAAACATCTTTGTTGTGCACGAAGATCGCAATTGGTGAAGAGTGTTGGCATTTTTGTTTTGATGATGTTTTAACAAATAATTTACAACTAATATTGTTTGTCTAGTATTTGTGTTTTCGTATTTATTCTAGGCAAACAATAAGTTGGAGGTTGGATGGAATTGCGCTTCAACGATCATATCCAATGGAGGTTGGCGGAAAAGTGGAGTGAAACCAATACATTTCAAGTCAAGATTCAAGTTCAAGCTTCATCCGCAAGTGTACCAAGTCGAGCTTATTGAAGACCTATAGCTTGGGTAAAAGCTTCATCCGCAAGTGTACCAAGTCGAGCTTATTGAAGACCTATAGCTTGGGTAATCTAGTTTAGGAGTTTATATTATCCTATAGCTTGGGTAATCTAGTTTAGGAGTTTATATTATGTGTGTTTAATATTCTAAGCTCAATATCATGTACACACACATTTTATTGGTTTCTATGCATAAATATAGTTATATATATACATACATGTTTTGGTTTTCAAGTTTATATAAATATGAAATTACATATTTCATATTTATTATTTTGTTTGGTTTAGCTTTATAGATATGAAACAATAATTATATTCATATACACTTTCACATGTTTCATATTCTATTGCTTTTGGAAAAACAATTGTGTTTTGTATAATATATATTTTTTTGTGAAAATAATGAATTCTTGTTTATGGACTTAACAATCACTGTTTACATATTTTATTAAGTCTATAAAATCATTTTATGAAGTTTCAAAAGTTTGTTTAAATCAATATGTCAAAAACATGTATGTTTAGTTTTCATGTTTTTGATATTTTTACAAAATGATGATATTTTACATTTGGGAGATGCAATTCCAAAAATACTTTTTGTAACATGTTTATTATCATATTTACAAGTATTCCCCAAAGTTTTATATTTTTTAGAATTTGTTTACTATTTTTAAATCGAGTTTAAAAATCAGATTTTTAGTTTTCAACCTGAGTATCAGAAATATCAGTTCACGGTCGACCGCGTGTGTCGCTGCGGTCGACCGCGTGTGTCGCTGCGGTCGACCGCGTGTGTCGCTGCGGTCGACCGTGTTTTCTCAGCTGCTCGCGGTCGACCGGACTGGCCTCTGCGGTCGACCACTGTTGCACAGTAACGGCTAGTTTTCAGTTTTATTTTCTTATGGGTTTTTGGTCATTTTATGTGGGTTTTGGCTGATGTTTTGGGTTATTATAAATACCTCATTGTATTTATCATTCCCACCAACCAAGAGAATGTTTTAAACAAATTTAAGAGAGTTTTACAAGGGTTTTAAAGTTTGTTTAAGTGTGTTTAAAAAGATTTTAAGCATTTTCAAGTTTCGGTTTGTGAAGAAATTTTCACAATAGCTTGAGAAGATCATCCTTTCGTGTTTGAGCATTTAACTCTTCTCCCTCTCTCTCTTGTCATCACAGAGAAGTTTTTCTAAACTCTTATCTAGCTATTTATATGTTTGATTTTTATTTCCTTAAGCTAGATTTATATTGAGTTTAGTTTGTTTTGATTATACTCATTGTTCATACATAACCTATTGAGCTTATTGTATTTACATATATAGTATATATTGGGGTTGTGGGATTGTGACATTGAGAGTGAGCCTTAATTGAGTTCTCATCCATAGTAGAGAACAAACATTTGTATTTGTAAGCTTCAATTGTGAGTTATACTTCGTAATACATTTGTACACCGAGAGGAGTGTTGTGGTGAGAGACGAGGTCGTCCCAAGAAGAGTGGCGTCGGTAGTAAAGCCTAGGAATAGGTTGTAAATTCGAGTACTTGAGGGAGACACGGGCTAGGGACCAACACTTAGAGGGTGTAGAGTGTGTTTGCAAGAGTGTTGATTGTAAATTTTTCGGTGAGCTAAAAAACCGAGTGTGAGGTGTATACGTTATTCGGATGAGCGTTGAAAACCCGGTTGTGTAGTGAATTTCTCCTCGGGAGTGGGGAGCGGAGACGTAGGATGGAATGTCTAAACTCCGTGATCATTTTCTTGTGTTTGAGTTTGCTTTGACGTTTTATTTGTGCTTAGTGTTCATTACATTCTTATCGTTATTGTCAATTACTCTTTGTTTATATTGTCCACTATCTTGTTTATATTGCTTTGTGTTTATATCACCCTTAGCTTCATATACTTGCATATTAAGTGTTGCATATCTAATTTGATAGGATATTTGTTAATAAGTTTTTAATTGGTATTAAATCGGATTAAATTAGCATTGACCCTATTCACCCCCCCTCCCTCCCTCTAGGGTTCTTGACTTCTTTCCTAGTGGCATTAGGGTCTGACAAAGAGTGCTTTTTGGGGTTCATGTCTGCTGTTCAGCAAATTACATACTGCCTAGAAGAATATTAATCAAGATAATTGCATGGCAGATTGTGGCTCAGGAGGTCAAAGATGGTGGATTAGGATTGTACTTGTTGAAATATTAATAGGTTTAGGGGCTTATTTGTAAGTTGTAGGGGCCTATATAAGCCCATGTTATCTCATGAATAAGATTAGGGTTTCTATTCACAATTTGGTATTAGAGCATCCACCCTCTTCTCTCCTAGCCGCCGCCCCCCACCCCCCTCCTGTCGAACCTCGAGTTTGGCATGGATTCCCTCGACTCAGTCCTCGAACTGATGACAGGAAGAGTATATATCTCACTTCGATGAGATATATAACTGTTTTTGGTTCTTGTTTCCTCTGAGAAACGAGAATTTGTTTGAGATCCTACTCTTGTTGTGCAGCAGAAGTGCTGCCAAAATTTTCACTGCACACAACAAGGGTTGGAAGAGAAGGTGACCAGGTGGTGGGTCTGAAGCCTGTTCGATGGAGGAGATCATCAAGAAGTTGAACCCTGCGGAGGTGTCAACTTTGATAAAGCTGATGAAGTTGTCGGCTGGTGAGAGCGCGACAAAACCATCGAAGAAGTTGGAGCTTCCGACCATCGATCTGAAGCTGGATGGACCTAGTACGTACCTGAGCTGGTCACGACGGGTGAGATATACCCTTGCAGGGAGGAATCTGGAGGGCTATCTGACAGGAAAGGTGACAGAGCCGGAGGACTCAGAGGGAAGAGATGAGTGGAAGTCCACTCATATGTTGGTATACATCTGGCTTCTCAACTCGTTGGTCCCGACGATCGCCGCTACGGTGGATGGCATTGAGAAGGTGAAGGACGTCTGGGAGAGGTTGAGGAGGACATATGATGGAGTGGGGAATAACCTGAGGGTATTCCAGATTAAAGGTGAGATCGACGCCACAGTCCAGGGAGAGAGGACTGTACAAGAATATGCTACAGAGTTGGAGCGCTTGTGGCTGGATTATGATCATTTTTCCCCCCGGGCTAGCTGCAAGGACCCGGGATATAAAGAGCGGGAGGCCTTTCTACAGGAGAGGACTATGGTGTTTCTCAAGGGATTGACATCAGAGTTCGCTCAGCGAATCGCATTGCTGCTAGCTCAGCCGAAGATTCCCACACTTGAGGAGGCTGTCGACAGGTGG